GGAAAGAGTACGACAAAGGATTCTCGCCATAGAAAATACCAAAGGGGTGATTGTGTTGAATTTTCTGGCAGACGAATGCTCCGGCGACGTAGCTGTTGAATCCCTCAACGGTTATGCCGTCATTTGGTCCCGCTTTCATAAAAGCTGAAACGCCGCCATGCAACCCCCCGCCGGCACTCGCCGACAAGTTATACCCGGCGACGTCCTGCAGGGAATGGTACACTGGGAATTCCCTTACCATATATAGGATATCGAAAACACAAAATTTTTTTTTGTTTGTTTCTTTTATTAATTTGTTGGGCTTGAGTTTTTTTGTTTTAAGGATCTGGAAAGTAACGGGAACGAAAATGAGTCTAAGCATGCAAAAAACAAAAAAAAAACAAAAAAAAAAAAAAGAAAGAAAGAAAGAAAGAACAGAAAAAAAAAAGAGAGAGAGATTGAGAGAGAGAGGTGAGGAGAGGAAGGGGGAGAGAGATCAGTAAGAGTATGTAGAAAGGCCAAAAGGATGATGGTTTGTGGACGTGCGTTTTAGAAGGTTTTATGAAGCTCAACTCTATTTATGGCGATTTTTGACTATTTTCATGCCTATTGTGTTTTCTTTTTCCTTTTTTTTTTTTTGTTTTTGGCTTTTGTCTTCCTAATGTTTAGAAATTTCTGAACTTTTGTTTAGTTTTTGTATACCTTTTAATTAATTTTTTTTTCTTTAAAGTTGTATCCCTGTTAAATTAAGAAATTATTTGAATAAGGGCATATATAATTTTTTGTACCCTATATTAAAGTGTCCTTATTAATTTAATTCTAAAGGGATAAAATCTGATTGTTTGAATAAGGTTATATGTAAATTTTTGTTTTCTATATTATCGTACATTTCTCTAGGTTCTCCTTTTTCTTCTTACCTAAATGATTGCTATTTAAATGCGAGAGATCAATTGACTTTTTCATTCAAGTTGCTATCAATATTATCCACAATGTGGAAATGGAAGCACCTAAAACAGATGGAAAAAAAAAAAGAAAAAAAAAAGACAACAAAACAAAAAAAGAAAAAAAAAACAAGAAAGAAAGAGAGAACTAATGACATGGGCCCATGGCCCATTAGTTGGACCAAACTTTCATGGCTATTTATGCTGGTATCGACAGGGCCCATGCATCAACATCACCAGTTCCTTGATTGCCTAAAAATAAGGCGGCTCTCATGCTACAGCTTGTGGACCGGATTTAATAGTTTGCAGCTACAAATTAGCTACATTTTTCAGGTGTACATAATTTAAGAATAAAATCTACAAAATGATCCCTGGACCCCACCATATATATATATATATATATATATATATCTCCTAGAAAATTTAGGTTGAGGACTTAAAAACACCAATAGTGCCTTTTATTTTCACCTACTCATTTTCGAGAATATGTGCACGAAGTGAAAAATAAATAAATAATAGAGGTAGCATCTGTCCATTAGTGTATCATTACTCAACCTCCGGTAAAAATTAACTATATGGTAACTTTATGAGAGTAGAATTTAATATAATAATTTGGGTAATTGACATGGATGTTTCTCAATCTGTTTAGCGGGTGACAGTTTAATCTATATTTTTTAAATTTTAATAAAATGGTCTCTAATGTTATTAAATTAGTGCAATTAAGTTCTTTTTGTCCAACTTCGTCAAATTTTAAATAGTTTTATACAGGTGACCTTCAAACATGTTATTTTTATAGTAAAGTTACAAAAATATTCCTCACATAAATTAACTCACTATTTTTTAAAATATAAAAAAAGAAGAAATAAAAAAATAAAGTTTTATTCTTCCCAACGTGAGCAAACCCAGAAAAAGTGCTCAAGATAGGCTTGAGAGACATCAATTCACCGTCAGATCAAAAAAATGGGTAATGATTTTTCAGGATTTTTTCAAATAAAATTAATTTTGTGGATAGAAAAATCAAATGCCCTTGTAAATCTTAAAATTGAAAAAAAAAAAAAACCCCCCAAAACAAAAGGAAAGTTTAAACTTCTCCGCAAAATTAGATTCCCCATAGCCTGATAACTGTAGACCATCCCTTTCTAGAAGCACCACCGACAAGTAGGGGGAGCTTTTGATGGACATGTGCTTGAAGAAGCTGGTGCCGAATCTGCCCTACATGAAGTCGTTGTTCCTCGGTTGGTTCGAGCCGTTGAGGAATGCTATTAAGCAGGAGCAGGAGATGTACCAAGAGGGAAAGAATAGGACAATGTGCTCGTCGTACTTTGATTTGTTGTCGCCGGAGATGATGTCGGTCATCACGATGCATAAGTTGGCGGGGGTGCTAATGTCGAGGGGCGGGAATGGCATTGCCCGGGTTGTTCAAGCTTCTCTCTTGATTGGGGATGCCATTAAGCAGGAGGTTTGAACTTGGCTTGCTCGTTTTCTTCATTATCATTCTCTTTTGAGCCATAATCTTTGGTTGGATAATGGATAAGAAGCTTCCTCTTCCACTGTAGTTCATAATGGCGCGTTTTAAACTCGTTTTAAAATGATTTTATTTTCTATATGAAAATAAAAATAAAAACGTTTTCATTTTCAGGCAAGAATTAATTCTGAAAATGCGTTTAGTAATTTTTTTTTAAAAATTATTTTCAGTATAAAAAAATTAAAACTGTGTTTGGTAGTTTTCTTTTTGAAAACATGTAATAATATATTAAATAATTAATAATTGAATCCCAAATAGAAACACTAATAATTGATATAATAATTTAAATTACATTACAAATAAATAGTAAATAATTTAAAATAAGATAACTTAGTGAATGATTAGTAAAAAAAATGTTTACTTCGTGAATAATCTTAGCTTATATTATTGCCGTATATACGAATCTCACATTCGATCAACTAGATGATCCCTAAAATTAACCATGTAATTGTGTTGTCATCGACTACCCATTTCGGATGTTTCTGCTTCTTGTGTGTCCATACCTTATTGTTGTCCCTATTGCCCTTTTTGTTCTCCCTCGATATCTTCTAAAGGCAAATCGACATCATATTGTCTAAATAAATGATCATCTTGCGCATGCATCTTAATTAAATTATGGATCACACAACAAACGATTGGTACAAGCGATTGTCTTAGGATCCAATAATTGGTATAAGCTTAAGCATTTTAAACCTTGCTTTCAAAACCACAAAACACCTCTCTATGCAATCATGCAGTAAATAGTGATAATAATTGAATAACTCTTGTGGTCCCGTTAGTTGGCCACAGTTTCTAAACTCTTGAATATGGTACCTCTGACCACGAAATGATGCCAAAAAGCCTTGCGTGTTGTTGTAACTAGAATCCACAGCGTAATATTTTGGGTTGGGTGACACCAAGAATTGGTTATCTGGATCACCCAAAGTCTCAGTTAACACTTTGAATCAGCAGCTGATCCTTCTCATCTGGTATTGACGTAAGTGAATAGCATATCAAAACTACACGCCGCCATGACATTTTAGGTACACGAATGTCTTCTTCCTCTATAGACTTTTTGTTGATGTGCAGGTGGGACAACTATTATGTGCGTACCGTCTATTGCACCAATATAATCCTATTAAAATACATAAGGTGTGAGTCAGGATTAATTTAAAATTATTTATCATATTATTAGTTTATGAGCAGAGTCAAATTGTACCTTAAACCATGACTAGTATTTAGGGTTGTATCAAATCTATGGAGGGACGATGTTCATATTTGGTGGTTTTATAACTTCAGGTGCTAATGCAGACAATGCAGTAAGCACATTAACAAAATGCCGGTGTACTGTCTTTCTAGAATGAACAAATCTATCTTGAATCTCTCTATTGCGGTCTAAGTGAGCAATCATTCTTAAGAACATCATTAGTGATTCTTCTATTGATATACCTGAAGAAGGTAGTAGGCTGCGATCTTGAATTAACCTAATAATTGCTTCGAACATGTCTCGGTGCATACGACACATTTCGAACAGATTTTTGGGATGCCCATACAATTGTTCTAAAACATATTCTCGTCCTGTTAATGCAGAATTACGACGAGGTTGCATATTAAGTCTGTTTGTAAGCGACATCAGCAATTGGAGAGAAACTTTTATCTTTTCATCATCATCTGATGAGTGAAGAAAGTCCACAATTGTGACATCATCCTCACAATTTATGGCATCAGAATCCATATTAACATAAAAAAGAAACATGACTAGAACTAATCAAACATCCATATAACATTAACTAATCAAACAAATAACAAAGTCTAACAATCACAAGTCCGAGAGGTAGTTCAGGAAGTATATTCAACAATACTTAAAAAACACAAGTCTGAGAGGAAAAAAATAAAGAAAACATCACAAATAAAAATCATCTCAATTACAGGCTTCGAATTTATGAAAGATGACAATGAGGAGGCATTTTCAAAAACATCCTCCTAAAGGAAATGTCAACAGCCAACTTCTCTGCTGCCTTTTTATACGTATTGTCGTCTAAGTACTCCTCATACCCATTCAGTAAATCCATACATGTTTCGATACTTGTAGTAGGATCCTCTTTCTGAGGCTCGGCTGGTTATCAGCTAAATATTACTGAAACAAATCAACTTTTTAAACATATGTCTCACTGCGTAAGGTAGCACTCTTTGCCAATGCCTCTATAGCCTCATCAACTGCAGCCTTCTTCTTGCCCTTCGTCTTAGATCGAGTAAGAGGACCTTGAGACCATTTGCTTCTATTGGCTTTTGAATCCCGGACTTCATCCGAGTCCTCTGTACCCTCATCTTTCGCGTGTCAGCGTGCCAGCCTGCTCCTCTTCTCCGCGCGCGCCACCTGTCCAACGCGAGTTCTAACTGTCTCCATCTGCCAACACACTTCTTCCTCTCCACACGCAACACGTGGAAATTTAATCCACTTCCTCTAACCAAGGATTGATACGTGTCCACAAGGGTGCTGAATCCGGATTTCTTCTCTGCAAATTGCCCAATTTTCTCCTCAAATCATATATATGATTTCTCCTAATTTGTGTGTAATTCTATTTTCTTTCATCTTCTTTTGTATTTTTCCATTTTTGATTATTTGTTTCCTTATTTGACAAACAACCTCTGAACACTATAAATAGGGGGTTGGCCTAAGGTTTTTGTAAGTTTTTTATATTTAGTTTTATGTCGTCTTGTTGTTACTCTCATATTTTCTGTCTAGAATTTGTGAGAATGTTTTGCAAGCTAGGCTAGAGTTCTCTTGGTGAGGTTAGAGCTGAACTTTTGTTAGTG